GGTAGAGCAGGATTTGCCTACAACCAGGATACACAAGAGCTCACACAACTGGGAACCGAAGTGAACGTACCTCTCGATCGCTAACCTCTGGCAAAGAATTAACGAGCAAAACATCAGTTATAGACTCCTAAAGGATACATCCGTTATCTATATCACTCCAATGGCCACAAAGCCATTTCCGCCGAAAAGGAAATGATATCTGTTTAGTGCAAAAGTTAGGAAGCAATATAACCCACATGAGCGGACGGTGGATGTGTGTCATCTTCTAGCCGAATGTCCAGAACACTGTCGATTTTCTGTTGAGCGGTTTTCAGAGCAGTCTTCGCGAACTGATTCGCCCAAGATAAATTCATTGTCCTCAAAGCATCTGAAAAACAGGTCCATATTGGAGAATCCAGCATCCTTACTAAGAATTTGCACTTATCAATAAAGCGAGTGATAGACTGCTCAAGACGTGGGTTGTTCGAACTAAGCAATAAATAAGTAAAGTCGAAAACTAATTAATACATACCACTCTAAAGACATTCTACCAATAATAAACATTAGTGTTTTTCTTAAATGTACGAAATAGGATACAAAGAAGGAGATACTGAATATGAGACCGGATTACAGGAAACGGACGAATAAGGAGTATTCATATGATTCTCGGATAAATACTAAATAATATGAAAACGTTGGGACCCACAGTTATTATATCGAAATCTGGAATTTATAAAAGATCACCTGGATTATCTGGAATCCCATCAACCACCAAAAAACTCCATATCGATAACGTAAACTCTATTCATCCCCATCGCGCACCCAAGGTCCTCAGTGAGCCCAGCTTAGTTTAGGGAGAAAACAGCATTACACTTTGCTATAACTGTCTCTTTTATTCTCTCTAACGAAAACGAAGTCATGAGGGCTTGCCAAGAACTATGCCAAGTTGCGGAAGTTTATTTTGGATGGGCTTCCGAATAGAAATGTCCAGTTCTTCAGAGCATCCTGATGATGAATAGATCCCCGTCGTACATAGCTATTCCACACTTAAGAAGATCTCAACCCAAAACCAGACTATTAACCACTGAAGATAACAACATAAAGAAATAGCAATCGTGGCAAAAAGCAACAAATCAATATAAAAATATGACAGATTTCCAATAACGTTGCAAGGAGGCCAGGGAAAACTCGTCCACTCCGACCTAAGATAAGACACGATTTCTGCAATAAACAAAGGTTGGCCGAGTAGAGTAATAATCGTTTAGAAATAACGGAACTGAAACGAGAAGCAATGCGCGATTTACTAAAAACAGCAGCTAGTTGGTAAAATAGCTAGCAGTGTGGACGGGTTACACAGTCTCCTGCTTATCAGGCAACGGCGCGGTTTTCGAAACACCAATTATAATTCTCTTTATGGCTCAGGGCTTAACCACATGTATTAGCTCTGGATTGGATTTCGATTTCCGCTTAAACCATTTATAATGAGAAATCGTGGAGTGCACTATCTGTATTGTATATCTGTATCCATGTTGATTCAGTTGTGTGTTTGAAACAAAGATTGAAACTAAAGACGTGCTTTTTTATGACCGGTTTCTTCAAGCTCATTTTTTCATTCTCGTAATCATCCAGACCATTCTATTGTTGGTATTTGTGAAATGGATAAAGGATAAAGCGTTCGACGTTAGTCAGTCGCTAAGGGATGCGCCATAGCTTCATCATGCCGCTGTATTGTTGGGGAGGTGGGCAATACAACGGCTTGCAGTAGCCTACGGATGTATCAAGTCAGTTACAGTAAAAGGTACTTTTAGTCATTCTGGTACAATTAATTTCTTTGGTATTCAGAAGCGACTTGAATATTAAAGATTTTCCCCATCAAGTGGTTAACAGTGTTTCATAAAGAGTAATTGATTTTGCAAGATGTTCTGTGAGTGTGCTGGGTGACGTAGATCTACTTATCCCAGTTCTCCTTCAGTATTTGTTGTATTGTTTGTATGACGTGTGGTGCGGTGTCTTCGAACGAAATTGGTTCTGCCTAATGGAATAATGTCAGTTGTAGACGATGATATTCTTCGTGAACTTTTTCGATTTCTCGATAATAATTTTGTTGCTGTACTATTAACAAAAGCGCTTGGCCTGCTTATACAATGACTTTTGCTTACCTACCGATGCATTAGTTCAGTGTTTTTATACTCTAAGTCTTGCACCAATTCGCTAGTCCCGGACGGATAGAGGTCTTCGTTTGTGCAGAGCTTTGGGTCAATCCGATGATGACAATGTTTATCGGAAAGAACTTCTTACCTTTGCGCTATACTCTCCTCGATGTACTGTTAAAACTGCAATTCAAGATGCTAAAGTACATAATCCCGTTATCAGAGAGTCATATCAAAGTCATATCAACCTTCTGCTGTTGGACAAACTTGTCCTCTAGGGACTTCGTCTTTCGTATTCTTCCCCACAGTTAATTTCCCTTCTTTTTATCTCGTAAACCCAGAACACACCATCGAGGCTTGTCGGATGCGAGGAAAGGAATTCAGGAAGTGCTATCATCCACACAATGTCTGCTTTGTCGGGGCATATAAAAAGAACTTTGTTTTTTATTTGATTCATTTCATTATTTAAACTTGACGCAAATTAAAATAGAAACAGTTGTCTTAAAAAATAAATGTCGAAAGAAATCTCTCCATAGCGACGTTTTATGTGTAGATAAAAGCACACAGCTCTAAAGCACAAGAGTACTAAAATCACAAAATGCGAATAATAACAATTAACACAGGGTACCAGTACATACATATGAATACCTTTACTTCCACCCAATTTAAAACACGGATTCCGTTTCTCCGTCTACATGTGTATTCTTCTGGAATTCTCTTCGTGTAGTTCGTTTGTGATGTGATCTCCAAATGACTTTTCCATCGTGGGTGTGCTTGGTGTTACCTCAATGTTTGGTTTATTCTTTGCCTAAAATAAAAGTCAAAAACATCGGATTTCCAGTCGATTCCTGGTGAATGTTCTCGAAGACTTACTGGTTTAGGCACTCTAGTTTTCATTTTGGCGTTCAAGTGATGTTCGGGATGTTCGTAATTCGACGGATTAACATAAACACTTCTTGCTCGTGTTCTCTCTTCCTCATTTTGTGAGCTAGAGATTCCATTTGCAAAACTGCCCAGTTGTTTATCGCTTCTATTTATAAGTTGCTCTAACAACACTGAAAAGTCTTTGAAATACGTAATATGAACATCATACTTTTTATAAAATTTGCGATGGCCCTTCTTCATGACATTTATCGTGGTTTCTACAATTCTTACTTGATGGTAAAGAACTATTCCCACTTTTTCTACTTGGAACATGAATATTGCGATTTAGCGGACCGTTATGGTTCGCGTTGAAGTCGTATGTTTTCCACTTGTGGAAAACTTTTCGTCTCGCAGATAATTTTCCAACTAGTAACGAGAGATTTGGAAAGGATTCAGCGTTGCTTAAGGAATGCGCCATGAGTTTAAACAGCGTGAGGTGAGTGAATGCGCATGTGCAGTATGCATTAGGTTGTGTAATCCTACCGAGATATCAAGATAATTTTTTTGTTTCCCAAGACTAGTTTGGTACCAATTTTACCTTACAGAAAGAATGGAGGCATTGGTTTAGCGACCGAACCAACGAACCCGTATGTGTTGCACGGACTACCCCAACTACTGCGCTACACTTCCCCTAATGACGTGGAGGAGTATAACACCCTAGAATTTCTAAAATCCCAATGTTTTAAGAAAGGTCTCTACGGTATTTATTGATATCAGTGGTATACATCTCTTCTATCCACATAATGTTTTGATTTTCAAAGTTGTTCCACACAAACAAGAAAAAAAATTTTGCAGTTATTCTTACTAACATTGAGGGTCACTCTCGGTGTCAAGTCTTCTGAAAAAGAATTCAAAGTCAAATGCGAAAGTGGAACAAAAAATGAATGGGTTAAAGTGGCAAAAGATGCAGGTTTAAATGCATCAGTAATTTCTCAAGTCAAAACCTATCAGAACTGATAAGTTAGTACCCACTAATAATTTTGCATCTAGCGACCCATCATCATTTAAGATAAGAGCCATCATCATCTGTGTAGACGGGCCTATGGATAGAATAGCTTGGTTTATATACTTAGTGTCATCCAGTTCCTGAAACAAATGCCAGCTCATCTTCCTATCTTACGCACACCTAGATATTCTTGGATCGTCTAGGTAACACGTGTACTATCAGCGCGTCGGTGATGGATTCCTTCTATGTTACCGCCCTTTATACAAAAGTGTTGAATGATTGCGCTAGCCAATCCATCATCGATCTCGCTAAGTTATATTAAGAAACAATAGACATGGTCTATTGATTCAGATGCTCATTGCCCTCTTAAAGGAGTTCCTGAACTGCTCAATCTTTGGATGCTTCAGAAAGCATTTCACACAAAATAGAGTTGGAGTAGTAGGACAGTGACTGGATCAAATGCTTTCCATTGCCTTTATGTCTGAGGTGAGAACCAGATACATAAATGACCGTTATGTTATCTGCTGCACACAAGATTAGATGGACAAATGTTCTGAACTGTTGAAAGAACAGTTAGAGTACACACCCGAGCGGAACCGAAAGAACACTGGTTCAAGACAACACATCCGAAAACGGCTACATCACCATGTGGTACTACCTCTTCCCTAACGTCACACATAAAAAGGGCACATGTGAGAAATATGTTTCGAACAGCCACAGTGCCTGCACAAGAAGCCAGCAAAAGGGGGAATTCCTCAAGTTGGCCTGGAACCAACGAACCCGTATGTGTTTCACGGACTACCCCAACTACTGCGCTACACTTCCCCCAATGACATGAAGGAGTATAAGACCCTAGAATTTCTAAAATCTCAATGTTTTGAGAAAGGTTTCTACGGTATTTATTGACATCAGTGGTAGACATCTCTTCTATCCACATAATGTTTTAATTTTTTAAAGTTGTTTCACACAAACAAGAAAAAAAACTTTTGCAGTTATTCTTACTAACATTGAGGGTCACTCTCGGTGTTACTATTGAGTTTGCCATAATTCTGTAGTGATTTCTCCTTAATCGGTTCGTAATCGTCCCATCCATGTCCGTATGCGTGTAAAGGATATGCAGCTTCACCATGTTTGTAGATATCAAGACCATTAATTTCAATTTCAGGAGCAACACGAAGTTTTCCTATCTAGAACGACAACAAATTTATACTTGAAAAAAATCATTGGGTAATTTTTGATAAGAAGCTCTTATTTGTAATTGTTTCTAGGGGCGGCAAGGTACTGGTTAGAGATGCTGTACACTAAACGCACAAGGTGTCTGGTTCTGATTTAGCCCCGTGCCAGACAGACGAAGCCTCTTAAACCTCCGGAATGGAAAAGTCTCTCTGAACCACGGAGTTTCGGTACTGCTTGTGGTAGAAATCTAAGGGCGCTTTAATAAATCTACCCAATGATTCTGGGAGAATGAACATGGCTTTTGCGGAATTCACAAATAATTCTTGAACTTACAGCCAAATCTACACGTATGCACGGAAATCTTCGCGCAGTGTGGATGCAAGAAATAAATAGATGAATGACTGAACAGGCAATATTACCTTTTTGAGAAATAAGAAAATAGGAATCATCCATAATAACGACCATGTGATGATAGCTAGAACACATATCATCTGCCATCCCAGTTGCTGAAATGACTCAGGATAGAAATAGGAACGTAAAAACAGTTGCAAAATATGTGAAACTGTGTAATGTTTAGCATCGATGCAAAATCATTGTAGTAAACGTTCCAATTTTGAATAGTAGAGGGCAGACCAATGCTCTAATCGACTCCTTCAGATGTTAAGTAAACATTTTGATAGGGGAGCTGGTTCTCTGAAGTACCTTTCGTAACCATTTTGTAGTTACGTCGCTTTATTACCATCGTTATTTGGTTAAAGAGCGCGTGCTACACAGTGTCCAAGGGTCCAACAAGTGGTGATTGGTTCAATCGAGTGCTCCGGCCTTACCCAGCTTTCCATCCTTCCGTGTTCGAAAAATTGGCAGCAGACTTGTCTGAAAGGATATTAGCACTGACTCGATATATCGCTAGGCCAACACAAGTTATTCTATGGGCTAGATATGCATTCATTCACTCTAACGATGCTTCATGAAGTTGAATGCATGGGGCATCCTGCAGTGATTGGTCAACGCCGAAAGGTTTACCCTTATTTTTCTATGATCCAGATCCAACTACATGGACATTTTATGAAAGGCGGCATTGGCTGTAGCGTGGCCACGAAACCGTTTCACATCATAGGCATAATTTTTTACTCAAATAATATCAGATACATGGATTTGCAAAAATAACTATGAGCTCCAAGCTGCTTTTTAATAGTTTCACCCACTCGTCGCCACTGGTATTCTTGGTGTTAATTTCCGTGATAACTCGATATTTTATTTAACTTTTTGAGTTCTTCTCAAGTCTTCACTATAGGTGATGAGCACAGACCAGAAGTGGGTCTGGTTCTTGTGCAGGTCATCTACTTTAATGCCATTAAAATCCTCTCGAGGTCACCACACCGTTCTTCGCATTCGTTTGAAGCAGCGCTTCCCATCTTATTACCGGAGCAGCCCATTCGCTTTGAATATACAAGCAGCAATATTAAAAGATCTAGTTTCTAAAGTTATGGGGCGGGTAGCGCAATGGTAGTGATGTCCGTCATCACGAGCGTAGTACTTGTTCTATTCCGCTCCGGGCCAAACAAGCGTCTCATCCCTCCGGGGTCGCAATTTTGTTACCGAACTTGTCTAAGATAAGAACTCACTCTCTGCAATCTTATTGGGAACGCTCCAGCTCGACTATCTCAGGACTCCAGGGTGAATTGCTCCACCAGCATTCTACGATATTCAAGATGAAATGAAAATCCTCAAGCAGCAACCGAAGCCACATGTGAAGTTGGAAGATCTTCGTTGACAATGGATGCGAGGAAACGAATAGAATGTGAGGAGTGGTGGGATCCGCGCAGTAGACGTGAAGACGAGTTAAATAGAATAAAAAAAGTAAAAAAAAATCCCAAAGCTTGCCTTTATGGGGTATAAGAGCTTGATATAATCAGTCTGTTTCTGAGAAAGCATTTTGGTTGGTTTAAATATTATGAAAATTAGCTCATCATCTGAGAATACTTTCCGAGGACTAGATTTTCTTGAAAACCATACATTTAATAGAATTCTGCAGGCAGGTAACGATCTCACCGCGAATGCCTGACTGCAGAGTAGTAGACCGTTGTTATTCCCAATAGCATTGGCAATCGCGTAAGCGACGCCTTTTCGGGTGATGATACAAGCTGACAGCATACCCCATAGGCCACCACCACCATGTACGGCGAACGCATCCAGTGGGTCGTCCACTTTCATCCTAGGTTATCGTGTTTAGAGCAAAGTTCAATTTTTAAGTTTTTCTCATTTCAGCGGTAGATGAAAATGAACGGTGCTAAACAGCGAAAACTGAAATATTTTTATCTTTAATTTTTATTTACTGCCTATTATTTTTTCATGGGAATGGCTGGGCATGATGTGAAATGTATCCATAATGGTGCTGAAATATAAGCAAGACTCAGAACCTCAGTTACGCTTCGATCCGGCAATTACCCTTCCCGGATACTCACGCATATTCACTGCACTAACCCATGATCTCTTGCTTTACTTTTCTCTGACCCATTTTTTTAAGCCTAACGGTGCTGATAGTACTCACCCGTCAACAGGAATTATTTGAGGAGCACAATTCGAGAGATAATCCGGTTAAGCCGAAACTGCTCGAGATCATAGTGTTTAACATATTCATTAGACAACTCATTAGGTTAAAATATTATTCCACTAGGAAAGTCGTTAAGGCTGTGAAGGCTGAACTTGCTACAGAATTATGTTTCGAATCTTGAAAATAGACGCGATAGGGGTGTGTCTGCAAGTCTGCACAGAGATTGACTAGCTTTCCTCTTTTTTCAAGGGCATTTTTAAACATGAAAACGTGGACGCGAAATTAACAAGAAGCGGTACGATTCTAGACAACAAAATATAGACTTTCCATGTAAGAATTTAAACCCAAATCATTTTCAAACTTGTCAACTTACTTTATTAGCAAGTTGCTAAGACCAAGATAAACGAGTCCTGCGCCTATTCCTGTAAACGATGATGCCCATGGTTCCATATTATTGCAGCCAGCGCAAGACGACACCATTCCTAAATTTTTCTAAGGCCCTTAAGATTAGTTTCACTCGAAAGCGACCATTCTTCCCACAGACCTCGCTCAATGAGGGCTCCACAACCAGTTTGTTAGTTGAGAGGCTAGTGACGCGTCCACACATGGAGGATTATGTGTTGAACGCGAACAAATAACGACCTTGTGTTTCCTTGAGACGCAACTGCGTCCAGAGACGGAGGTTCTCTTTCTGGTTCGCCGATTTGATGCATTGGTTTCTCATTTATTAAGACTGTTTTTTATATGTGTTTTCGGCCAAAACCTTGGAATCAGATAACTAGGAAAGACATTAGATGTCATTAGGAATCTAGAAATCTCCTCCAATAATCAAGTTCCACGTACACTCTGTGGACTGGCGAGCTCCCTCGTGAGTGTACGCAGCTGCCGCAATGACAGCTCGGCAAGCAATGCTTTGATATCAAAAGCTAAATACAGTAAACTAAATGGGCTTCATTCCGTTGGCCACAAACTTACTTGATACTTGGTACTTGAACGGCCCGTCCTCAATGGCTGCGCGGGCCCCAGCAAAATCGAAATTTTTAGCAGATTTGCTGGTTAGGCCATAGTTGTTTTTGGAATCCAGAGGTCAGCCTGGCCAATGTCTGTTCCAGGCCTTCAGCACCACAGTCAGTCGCAGCTCTTGTGGATCAGAGGGAGATTTGCCACCATGCGACTTTGATACCAGGACGGTGGTGGATCCTGGCATTAATTTTGGTTTATTCTTAGCTAGGCTTCCTGATGGAAACGCCGGACTCCTTCTCAGCTTAGGAGATCCTGCCAGGGGACGAATCCACCCGCTGTACATCGCTGTTTGACACCAAGGAACACCTCCCAGCCACAATGAATGGGGCGATAAACTGTTGGAAGGGTTGGCCACAAGAGAGCGTCGAAACGGCAACACTGGGTAGGAACACGGGTTTCGCCATAAACATGGATACCATTGAACAACAAATCATTCTTCCTTTGAACATCTTGTCAGAGTTGGCCAACGTTCTTTCTGCCTAGATAGTACTTAGTGAAGAACGGTATTAGCAACGAAGCGAAGTTAATATCACTATGGAATGGTGGAATTCTGGCTGTGAAATTTGTATACAGCCTACGAAAGTTCTTCATATACTGAGTCGAAACATCCTGACTTCGCAAAACTTCTATCACTTGTTTTCTATAGACCGAATCGTAAGGCCCATCTTATGCGGACAGAATTGAGAAAGAACGGTCTCTCGTTCTCCTGTGATAACTCAGTGAATCTCATTATTCTGATGCAACTGTGCGTCTATTGTAAGTACAGCAAACGGCCTAAGTTCATTCTAGATCTAGGCAGCTCAGATTGCTCTTGAGGTTTTTTCGGTTTGTCCGCACTCGTCGCTCTGCCGTGACGCTGGAAATACTTACTAGTAGCTTTCCATTCTGTTCTGGAGTAGATGCGTGGACAGGACTCCCAATCACCTACTATATACTTCCTAGTTATTTGATTGCAAGGTTTCGACCGAACTGGCTCGTAGAATACAATCCTCATAAGCAAGAACCCACCCACGCACGCGTCCATGAACATATCTACTTAAACACGGAAACTACATGTCAAGTCGCCGCAGAAGAAAAAAAAGTCTATTCGTGGATGCACGTGCGTCTCTGGGAACCACAAAATCGTTTTTGATTTTCGTTCAACCTGCATCGCTACCTGGGGATACGAACCGTACTCTAGTGCCTGACCAACAGGGGAGCCGTCAATGAGATCCGTGGAGCATTTACTTTTCCACTTTGCATGATCCGAAATCACAGATATTTTGCGCTGGTCATTGCAGCTCTTGCATTCGTTTAGTTTTCTCAAATTCGTCATCCACGAGGGTGTTGTGAGTGTTTCTATTCATTCAGACAAGTCTGATACCAGTTCGCCGACTCCGAGGGGTGGAAGACTTGGTGAACCATAGGCGCGGGAATCGATCCCATGTGTGTGTCGCAGGGTGCTTCCGACCACTGCGCCACAGGCGCCCTGTCCTCTTATATGGAAGATTAGTTGCGACTACCCTCCCAGCGGCTTGGTGCGAGGCTTATGCAACGACTTGCGATGGCCTACCGATGTACCGAGTGAATGTTCCTATCCATCCAGACAAGTCTAGGACTAATTTACCGTCATCGAATGGATGGAGTGTGGTGATCCCCTGGCGCGAATCAAACCAGCAGTCGATCCTTTGTGTATTACACTGCAACTCTAAGCACTGTGCTACGCGAGCTACCTCCACCAATAATTACCATTAGATTAATTGCTACTGTGCACATTCCTATTGTTTCCTTCTTATTTTGATGTTTTTTTTTTTCGGCCTTTAAAAGTAAAAACGCGACAAACCTGTTAGACAAGCATTGATTGTTAAAAGCAATGTCCACTTTCCTTTTGTCAGGTAATGAATGATGAGAAAAGTTAATGCGGCAAATGCTCCACACAGGATCGTATTCACCATAGCGAGCGCAACGATTTCACCTTCGCCCGGTTGCACGATATCAGCCATCGATCCTTCAGAGAGAAGTAAAAATTAAAAGATTTCAGCAGTAACTTTAAAATGGAATGTCAAAACGTTATAGAGTACTACCCAACAACCACAATATTGGCTGAATGAAGGAATCGTGATTGAAATATATTGAGGAAAAAATAACCAATAGTTGACCGATCGGCTAAAAACTAGCACTGCCATATCGATTTCTAATGAAAAGTGATCGCTATGGTTTTTACATTGTTCTGTTACCTCCATTAAAGGCGAGGAATCCGAACATTAGAATGAAACCTCCAAGAGCGACGAACTGAAATGTACAGGTTTCTGCAACGCAGTGCTCTTCGTTTAGTTCTTTTGTCTGATTTATGATTTGACTATCATTAAAACTTCTAATTCCACTATAATTTAAAAATTATTTTTTTTGTAAGCTGGAACTGTGGCGGTTTATATTTCATTTAGTGTGAATTGCAAATGTTCCTAATTGTTAGGGTAAGGGTTGCCCATCAGTGTCGAAATACGGTTTGCAGCGCGGGCGGTTCACTCGTTACTGGCTTGGTCACTCTACACAGAAAGAATTTCTATCTTTCCATCAGAAAACCCAGGTATGAGTAAATCTATGCTACGTCGGAGCTTGACAAACTAAATCTGACTAAAAATAGTAAATCCTAAAAGAACAAGAAATGGGATGCTCTTCGCTCCCCATTTTCAAGCGAACATTAGCTAGAGTTTCCAGACCATTGAAGCAAATAGACATGTCCGTTAGAGTTTATTGATGATTATAGAAGTTTCCCAAATACTAGAATGCTTGAGGATTTAAGTGGTTTACGCAATTAAACAAGGAACGTTAATCTATGGCTCTGGGAGGATTTTTCTAGAATATCTCTTTTATTTTTAGTTTAAAAAATGTAAACATACAAAAATATTGAGGCAGTAAGTACTTTAGGATTCCCATGACCGATTTTCTTTTAACCTCGGCATTGATTGATAATTCGATGAATAACATCGAATTACTTTAGGATTGTTTAAACAAAAAAGTGGTACTATTAGCATTGTAGCCATATTTGTGGGCATTATACGTGACGAAATTTGACTTGTTACAATTGCTTCACAGCTTTAGATTTGTGTCTCTACGAGAAAACAAGAACAGAATCGAAATGATTGATGCACCCAAAAGTTTAGAATTCTATAATAATAACATGAATATATTTATCTCTTCTGACAAATATGTGTAGGGGCTCCATTGGTTTTCATCCAATTAGTGGAGCTTACTATGAGATGGGATACATGTGTTTAAAGCTGAAAGAAGATATCATTTTGCACCAGCGCGGATGCATTGTAAGCAATACATAGCGCTCACTGCAACCTACTAAACAGTGTTTAGATTCCAAAGCCGTTGTGGTGCTCTTGAAAGCGTGAGTGGATTAAGGACAAAATTTTCGCTGTTGGTCCATCCGTTACGGATGCGCAGCGTATTTGACTCCATTCGCTGTATAATAAAGGTGGTTGAATGCATATCCGAATCATACAGTCGTTCTCGGTGGTCTACTGGTCTACTAAAGCAGGGTTTTTATTCCCATAGACATGTTTGTTATCAATCTGACGAAACCGGTAGTTAGTTGGCTTGAATATCCCAGGGCGTTAGCTCGAACAACAGCCATGTGCATAGCAGTTTAAGTTTCATCACACGAGAAAAATGTCGATCATTGAGGCAGTTAATGCTTTTCCTCTAACGCCAATTTTAAATCACTTTGTGTATGTATTTAGAGCGCTGTTGTTGTCATTTCCTGAAATATCTTTCGTGAAATACCTTCGATTCTTTGTCTCACCTAAAAGCTGCGCACAAATCCTTTTCTTGAAGTGAAACGTTCCCAAAATATGATAAGGAACAGATGGGAAGAGCTTCTGTCGTTTTGCTGCTATGTCAATATAGATCTTTTTTATGGTTTAGTGTTCACATGGCGAGAATGAAGTAACATTTGCTCCGTACCTCATAATGTTTGTACGGACTAAAATATTAGTCCAGATTAAACTCTTAATAATAGTAATCGCAGTGATTATATTAGCAATAGAAACTGCTCACACCAAAGTTCCTGAAGGAGTTAATGTACAACACAGTAAAAAAAGCCTCAGATAACACTCAAAACCTTCATATTACTCCACACTGCTGTATACTTCTAATCAGTAACATTTTTTTGGGCCCTCGATCTCTAACGAGTCGTTCAAACACCTGTCATTTCTTCTCCGTTATCAAAAACTACTGCATGTACAGTAAGACAACAGGAAGACAGTTTTTCGCCTGGAAAAGAAACTAGTTTGAAATAAGCTAGATATGCGTTTATGATTCATTTAATAGTTCTGTTATCATTAAAGGGCCGTCGATAAATTCAATAACTTTTATTTATCAATATTTTACATTTAATATTACACACAATTGTCATTCCATCAATATCACATACCGGCACACTATGTCCTTTGATTTCAAGTGGATCTTCATTGCCGTCTTTGGAAAATCTACCAATCCTTGGACCGATAATGTATGCACCGGCGAGAGAGATAATTCCACCACACAAATGAACGATACCAGCTCCAGCGAAATCCTAAACAGCACCTATTCCTTACATGATACTTGATGCTTGCGTAAATTACCCACCGTCCCAAAGACACGTCCCTGATTCTAGCATATTTTCCAATGAGCTGGTAACAAGAACACTAAAAAACTCGTCATAAAGTTTTCCAAGGTCGCCAACACAAGCATTTGCCGGGCCCTGTGGATTCAAGGAAAGTTTGCCACCTTGCAGCTAGGTTCCTCCCAAAACAACAGCAATCCATGGCGCTGTATCACTATTAGTTAAACTTTCGCATGAAAGTGCAGAACCATTTTCTAACTTACCAGTCTTTGCTAGGAGATGAATCGCTTAGGTACATTTCACTTCGACATCTAAGGTCACTCCCAAGTACAGTGAAATGGCAAATCAATGGAGGCATTCGTTCACTGTGCCCACAACTGTTATTGCTGTTCTGTTCTACTTTTATAGTACAACTAACTTTAAATTAACTTTACTTTCAAATGGGTTTAAGTACTTTTAAATAACATTTTTCTCCATGGCAACATTATAATTGTTTCAAAGATTTCGATTGTCGGTGGTGAATAAGAAAAATAAAAGCACCGTATTGTGGTTAACCCGTTTAGCATAAGGGATGAAGTAAAACAACGGCAGCTTTTTCATCTTGAAATTTACAAAGGCATTTTCTATAAATTGTTAGTCTTATATTGCTGCTATGGAACATTCTAAAGACCATTTCTTGTTCGACAATTTGCGACATAACACGTCTTCTAGAACTTAATTCGGAGACTTTAGATCGGTTTGAATGATATTTCCACAGTATAAAAATAATATCGCTTTGCTTTACATGTTCAAACATTGAAGCAAAGCATTGAAAGTAACTCGAAAAGTCATTTTCGATGTATGGTTCAGAAAGCTGCTTCCGGATATCTAATGCAGAGATGGATCGCCAGGTTTCCTACCGAAGACATCAACTTCCATGAAGGTGAAGGTGATCGACACCTATCAGCAATTAGCGACAGCCATCTGGAGTCGATAATCGAAGCTATTCTAAAGAACTACTCGAGAAGTCGCGGAAAAATCCAGCAATAATTCAACATCCTTCTTCCACTTCAAAAACATTGGAAGGGTGAAAAGTTCAATAAACACATGCCGCTTGAATTGCATGAAGAGGATTGAATTATTAACACTCTTTTTTCCCATTTTTACACACAAGAAAAAGGATCTACAATCTTCATAGAATTGTGACGTGCGTCGAGAAATGGATTCTAGCGGAAAGCAGACGAAGCGTGATGCTGTAATTCGATCTATATGATTCTTTAAAGTAGTATCCAAGGTCTAATTTGTACTAGAATATAGTTAAAATGATTTTTTCACTCTCTGTAGACACAGTCACCTCATAAACCTTGTTGAAACTTGGCAAAACGATCACTGAGGAGAAGTGCTATCACTACACTGATGAAAACCGACATCACTCACAGAAAAGTGCATTCCTGCCCGACACTTAACCAAACATGGCACAGTCAACGGTGCAAAAGTTGAAACAGTTGGGCTCCGAAGCTCTACCTCATCAACCTTTCCTAACATGTATTTCTAGCCGACTATCGTTTTGTTCAGGCTCCTCGCCTACTTCTAGTGCAAAATCTTTCAAGCCATGGAATTTATCGCTTCTGGGCTTCAGAATTTCATGTTTCCGGAGAAATTGAACTTGTATTGCCTTTGCTGAAATTGTGCAGATTCCAATGGTTTTTACCTTGATTGATTAACTATGCTTGGAACTTGTTATAATAACATAAAGTTCACAATTTATAACTACAGTTCCCTTTGATCTAATCCCTTTAAGTAAGCTGATATTGTGCGCATCTAGTAGCACCATATCATGGTAGGTTAGTTATTTAAGTTATTAAATACTTCAATTTTTTTTGCCCTTTAATACTTAAGTTTTTAAGCGGAAGACTTATATGAAATGCTGACATATTTGCAAAACTCCGGACCACAGGTGTATCCAGTGGAGAACGAACATGCGCTGTTGTCCTTACCGAGGAGCAGCGCACTTCACCACTACACCATCCGGATCCTTCGTCTTGACTGTCTCTCAGCTAGTTCTATCGATCTTTTTTTTTAATAGAACTAGTTGAGAGACAAGCAAAACGAAGGACCCGGATGGTGTGGTGGTGAAGTGCGCTGCTCCCCGGTAAGGACAACAGGGCGTGTTCGTTTCCCACTGCATACACCTGTGGTGCGGAGTTTTGCAAATATCTCAGCATTTCATACGAGTTATATTTCGCAACATACCCTGCCATTGAGAAGAAAAAAGGCAGTAAATAAAAGGGTTAAAGAAGTCTCATAGTTAATTACATTGGCTTACACTGGCGTGCAATATGTTGCGAGAAATTGAGAAATGAATACAACTTTTACACAAAATAGTGGGAAGCTTGCCATGTATGTGGTATGGATGTCAGACGTTTGAATACCGCGATACATCCATCCTTCTTTATGCCAACCCCAGTGCGTCAGTATCGGATACACGACGGCTGTAATAGAATAAATTACGTTTACATTTTCCAACTTATGAACAGGGTGTTTGAAGAAGCTCCACAACGTTTTACTTTTTATTGTTTGCTTGCTACAGTTTTTACAGTAGAGTATTAAGCGAAGTATAACCACAACGTTTGCTGAGATATTTGGAAAACTCCGGACTCAAAACTCAAAACTTTTGGCAAATATCTCAGCCTCACAAAGTTTATTTTTATTCCGAGGACTCACTTGATATTAGTGTGCTGTATACGATGTAGTTTGCGAATTCACATCTTTCTGCTACTGCTCCAGAAACGATGGTAGCCGATGTTGCAGCGAATGCATATTGATAGAAGAACCTATTTCCTTGTTTCGCATATTTAAAAGCAATTTTTGATAATTATCTTAATTACTGATATTAGAATGCTCTTGCTTACATTGGATAGTTTATTAAACCACTTAGGAAGAACTGTGAATGACCAATGAACAGTCCGACCACTTTGTTGCTTGAGTCACCGAAAGCAAAAGCCCATCCCAAAGACCAATAACCAATAACCGAAATACCTGTATCGGGATTTAATAGTTATAGCTAACAAGTCTGATAATTATTGAATCCCAACGTCACACTGATGAAGAGAACTGGCCAACTTTGGCCGAACCGAAAGCCACGATTCTTCTCAATTTTTATTGAGTTTGTTTTTTTCGTTTTGTAACACTTACATGAGTCGAGTAGGTTCTTGATAAGGATATTCGTGGTGTTTTTACTACGAACGGCTCCAGCTTCTAAGAAAGCAAATCCGCACTGCATAACTGAAAATTGGAGCCATCTAAGAGCTGCCTATTTTTGCGTGTTTGTGTGAAAGCAAAAAAAAAATATCACTTACAGAAGATTACTAACGCCATTGAACAAAGAAAAAATGCATTATCGTTATCCGCGAAATCCTGTCTAATTTGTTCGATTTCTCTTCGAAGTTCAATGATCTCGGCTGTATAGTTCTCTCCGGACGACATCTTGTTAATGAGGTGTAGATGAAACAGTGGAACGTCTGCAAGGGCTGCTTATTTTAATTTCTTCTGATATATTCTGTTGCAACTGCGCCCAATCATGAAGATAGCTCAACACTCAGAACAAGCTTTTGGATTAGGATCAGTTGAAAGCATTTGTAATGAAGACAAAGTAGATAAAGGATAAAGCGTTCGACACTGATGAGCTGTTGTGGGATAAACATGAAATCGTCTCCATTCGTAGAATTGCTGAGGAGAATAATACATACCTGGTCTGCAGAATAACTTGTGCTAGCTTATCTATATATAAAATCAGTAAGGAAGGCATTGCAAGTGCCTCGGTTGGTGTGGTGCATGGGCTCTCATATTTCTTGTCGTTGTAGCTCATATCGTACCTTGCCATGAAAAAAAATAAGCACTAAATAATAATAAGCACTAAAAGTTCACGAATTTTCGTATCAGTATTTTTATTTTAACGTTCTCGCCCAAGTCTGGTACGAATTTTTCGACCTCTGAGAGACAGATGGATGGCCTGGTTCGGCCATGGGACGGGACTGATCCAACGCCCACGTGCAGTTATTGCATTACGGTACTACGTGTGCAGGCCGAAAGAGGAATACAGTTAAATGTCTCGGACATAAACGAAAGTGATAGGAAAAGCAGATCACGATAGAATTCGACGAATATCCACCATATATCGATTTTGGTCTAGTCTTATCAACAAGGAGGTGCTTAAAAAATCACGGAAAACTTTCATTGACAAATAACAGCTGAACATTTTTCTCTCAGATTTTTAGTGTTTCAATTTTACACCAAAACTACATAAACTTATCCACCAGGTTCACTCAAATTACTGATGACTAAGATATAATTTTGGATAAAAGCCTATGCAAATACAAATGTATATAGATGAGTATAACAATACAAAGTATGTGCGACTCATATTTGACTCATTTAGCTATCACTTGGATGAACCAGAGGAAGAGTAAGATAGATATCATTGGAATAATTACTAGAGATCATGATTTAGCCTGAATGTTTAGCTTGCAATTGGAATGATGGCATTTGATGTACAAGTGCAATGAACATGCTCAGAAATTACTGATGAGAGTGTTGCAAGCCACTGATATGTCGTGCTACTGCCACGTTTGCAATTCTGTGCGTCAAATCGTTGAAAAATTAAACACTCGCGGTGTTATTTATCTTTTATCGCAAAACATTCACAACTATGCCCTATCAAATCAGCCCTATCTTAACTGATAAGGCGTCGATCAGCAGAAATGTCACCTTTGCCTAATCTGACGTCTCATTTTCTTCATTCACACTACACAGCAGTAATTATAGGTCGTTATCACATGTTTCTATACTGATCGCTATTTAAAAAATTCAATCGCTCGCCATAAATCGCTTTCCGACGCAATTGTTGGCAAATTTGCAGATGGAGTGGAGTACTTAAGGAGTTAAGTGCATCAACTTCTATAAAAGACCTCATCATATTACTTCAAATATCCATACGTCTACCGCCAAATTATTATTTCTATCGAAAGATTTTAAGGTAGATTTTATAAGGATTACCAACATAATGCTTACTTTTTATTTCTGCCTTCTATAATTTTTATGGCAGGGTAATAAGTGAAATACAACCACAAGATTGTTTAGATATTTGCAAAACTCCAGACCGCAGATGTCTGCGGTGGTAAACGAACACGTTACTCTTCTTTTCGGGGAGTAACGCGTTCACCACTACACCATACGGGCTCTTGGCTTCACCTGTCTTTCAGCTAGTTCTATCGATCAGGTGCCGTCAGCAATCAACCGTCAATGGTAGTGAACTGGGGAGCTCACATCGGCCGAGAGACAGGGGAGCGCTTGCTGACGGCACTGATCGATAGAACTAGCTGAGAGACAGGCGGAGCGAAGAACCCGTATGGTGTAGTAGTGGACGCGTTACTCCCCGAAAAGGACAGTAACGTGTTCGTTTACCACCGCAGACATCGCGGTCTGGAGTTTTGCAAATATCTAAGCAATCTTGCGCTTGCATTACCAATACAGTTGAAACTTGGCATTTTTTTTTCAAAACGTAAGTGCGACAACAAATCTCGCAGTGGCAACACGGTTGGGGATATGATCGCTTCCTGTGAGGAGAAATTCTGTCTAATACAGCCGTTTTTATAGTTTTACATCCCATGAAACTTGACGAGAAGAAAAAAAAGGCTAGCAGCTAGAGATTTACGTACTCTGGAAAGTCAGTGTTTTAAGTGGCGAAGTAAGAAGACAGGCAAATTCTTAGCAAAGATCTCTAGATTCCAACGGTTTGTATTATGTCTATATTAAAGTTCACTGTAGGCCACGGTATACTTTTTCAGCACGAAGGTCCGAATATTCTTTTGTTAACCCGCATTTTAATCAATGGATACGGTCTCCATCATAAGCGAAACGAGTTATGTAGTGCTTAAGCCACGAAACAGAATTACTGTAGATAGAGCTACCGTTCTGCTACTCGTTTTTTATCCTTACGAGTCATGTGAATAGCGTTATAATCGTTTCCAGAATATCCAACTGCTATTCGATTTATAAACGCAACAGCTCTCATTCGGAATACCAAAAAGCCAATCAAAAAATGAGAAAATGGCTACGATATTGACGAATAGTCTTTTGAACTCTGATAACGTTCGATACAATATTTATTGTATAGAGAGACAGATGTAGAGATAGCAACATAATTCTAACAGTGTTAACAAGATATCTGTCGTTTCTAAGACTTCTTCGAAGCTCCCTTACTATTCCGAAGTTTTATAGCGGTTAAAAAAAGGAATTCTTAGATATCTGTCTCTTGAAAATCTCATAGAATTGAAGTAAGTGTGATTTCAACTCCAACCAACTAAACAACTTTGGCCTTCATTAGACATATGGTGAAAAATGGTAAAAGAAATGGATTCACAAATGGAATTAAACCCTGCAAGTGTTCATATTCACATTTTCGCATACGTAAAAAATAAGGACTTCAGCGCTTAGTTGTCTAAACAGCCTCATGTCCTTAACTTGCAACCTGTATTTAAAATCTAAAGAATTTCTCATAAGCTCTCGCCATTTCCTTTAGACTGTTTTCACACTGATCTAATACCTACATGGCCTACACGAACAGGGTTCTCTTATAACTGTCATTCACGTAGGATCGAACTAGTATGTGGGTTCCGTTGTAGCTTGTGGATCTTTCGTCTTCTCTCTTCGATGTTCCAAAAAATCCAAGGAAAGCCGTAGTTGAGCATTCTGAGAAGAATCAGAGAAAAGTCTGCCGCCTTAATAGGATTCCTTCAGAGATTACGATTTGTGACGGCAGCATTAGCTGGGGCAACAAGGTGAACAATCTTGTACGTAAAAAAACTAGTTGTTTTCAAAGATGTGTATTTCTTTTATTAACCTAAGATTAGGTATCGCCTCATACGGTACATTTAACAAGGAGAAACAGCTCCCTCCGAAATAGTGGTGCCCATATGAGAGCAAACGCAAGAAAAGAGTTGTATTTATTCAAAAATTTGGTGAAGGAGAAAATCCAGCGGACGATGACGCCTGCCGTAAAATTCGTTCAGAGAAATAGTGAGTGAAATCGCTGCTAGTTCGGATAGCAGCAGAGTCATCTGTTAATACGAAATATGTTGCACATTATACATTTCCAAATAATATGTTGTATCGTTGATGAAGAACACTTACAGTGCTGGTACAAACAACGAGTTTATTCAGCCATATTTAGGAGGAAAAATAAAACAAGAAAAAACAAAACAAATGCTGGGATGGACATTTAAAAATGTCAAATTTTGAGTTTGAAAACGTTTACAACTTAGTCGATCTCGCTTATTGTCTTCGCATCGGTGAATTCCTTTCCGTCGACTGATGAGAAAACGTGGAGACACTTACGAAAGACATCATTGTCGAAGCATCTCATCCTGGAAAAACATTCAAGCTCTAGACAAATAATCATCCATGGAGTTATGCAGGTGCACATAGAAAGACTTTATATCAGCTGCATTTTGTTACTAAATTGCTGCTGTTATCAGTGAATTTGCCCTGTAAGTAGCAGACTGGGGAATCCGCTTGAAAGGAATTTTGGAAACAAAAAAAGCCGATTTTAGCCGTTGCCGACAAGAACGCTATCTGTTCGGTAGGGGTGAAATTTATGCAGCACAAGAATGATGTCATGGATGAGGTCGAAACTCTGGATGTCATTGTACCCATTTGTGCCTTGTTATAGCTGCGCCGCATAGCTCCAGCCATGGTAATGACTTATGGGAGCACGATATAAATAAAAAATTGGAGGATAAAGGAGAAGTGCTCTCCATTAACTTACCTGCAAAAGAAGTGGCATTAATTCAACTTCATTAAGCATCGTAGAGCCAATTTAATGCATACCTACTCATTAGAACGCCTTGTGGGCACGTGTAACACAGTGATTACAATTTTAACTTATTATTTACTGCCTACTCTTTTTAAGGGCAGAGTATACATTGTAAAATATAACTTCAATGATGCTGAGATATTTGCAAAACTCCGGACCGCAGGTGTATGCTGTGGGGAACGAACGTGCTATTGTCCTTTCCGGGGAGTAGCGCGTTCACCAGTGATTACAGTTATCCTGCAATAGACACGTGGTCATTCGTCCGACCACGTGACCAGGGCTCATCAAGCCTTCTATTCTTCCGGGATCTGCATTTTCGCACCATACTTATCTGGGAGAGTAGCAGGACTGAATTCATAGTTTGCTATGCCACTGCAAGTGATTTTATAAGTCAGATGTGCATTCAATTACCTCTATCGATGCTCAATGGAGTGAAATGCATGGCAAACCCCACATAGATTGATCAACACCGAAAACTTTCAGAAGCTTTAAGAAAAGCTTTTAAAATGCCGAGTCTCTCAATTTACTAAACTCTACTTTTATCTTCTCTGACAAGTTGAGGAACAGTTCACAAAACGCGGTTGGGTGGAAGGCTTTGTGAGTCCGTGGTGCG